GACCCTCTATTAGAACTTTTGAGAATTTCAATCATCTTACCCCTATTTCCGGTATGATTTTAATACCCGCCTTATGGTGAACTATTTGATATTTTTGGAAGAAAAATTTCCTTTTACCTTGATATTTTTGATGGTCGATTTTTTTATTAATACATTTGAAGGACTTGTGCAGGGTATTTGTGGAAGTGCTATATATCTATATATGAACAGGCATTTTTTTCATGTATATCGGACTTAGTGATAACGATATACTCATTATATGTATATGGGACAAAATACAGTAAACATCTTAGGGTCACCTCTTGCACCCAATGTGGTGTAGGCTATCATATAGTTCGACATATTTATTTGTATTTGTTGCTTATATATTTTCCAACCAAAACAAGCCAAATATTAAAAAATAATGTTTTTTTTTTAATAGTAATTAACTTCATTAAGATGACAGGCATATATTTTAGAAGTTTTCGAACATAAAAACACATAATTAATAGTATAACGATAATTGATTGTAAATGGTTTCTTTGGTAAGTGGTTTCATTGATCAATTATGTATTTTAAAGCCATTGGGTATTTTCATCATAAGTTGAAAATGTAATTGACTAAAAAGTTTTGACTTTTATTGTTAACAGTGTCAAGAGAAATATGAAAATTCATTTCATTGCTGACGTGCATGGTATAATAATATAAGGTATAAGCAAGTGTTGTTGTAAACAAATGATACAACAAACGTATGAAAATTTTTTGTTGTAAGAAATATTTGTTTCATTGAAAATGCAAACATATGACACAAATCATCGAAACAAACTACTTATTTTAAAAATGTAATATTTTTGAATCCTCAAAATAAAATTGAAAAACATGAATGAAAATCTATCAAATTTATATTTCTATCGCTTCCACATATTTCCTCCGATTGAGCCATTGCCAGTTATATGTGTAACACATGTGAAAATTCTGGAAATTGCGAATTATTCCATGTAGAAAGATTTTATTCTTTAAACTTTCCCAGCAGGCAGATTGAGTAATTTCAGTATGGGAGGACATTTAATAAAGAAAAATGTCTAATTTTATGCTACCAAATTTTCCTCTTGGGCCATTTGTATAAACATAATTTGTCATATACATATTGACATGAGTATTACGTTGGAATTAAATCAGCTGGGTTTTGCAGTTACCATTTATAATTAATTGTACCATGGTTGACGTGGAATACTTTTTTTAAAAATTAATATGTACGCGTCTGTGTATTGTTTTTATAATTTAAACATTACTTAATAATACTAGAATTTCTTCCAAATTCTTTGTAGTATCAAATACGATTTCTATTTTTATTTGGCTTTAATATGTTGTACAGTAACTTCCCAATACACAAAGAGAAAAAAGAAAAAACAATAACCCTACAAAACCAACAACATTTTGTTTACGTTTATTAGTAACAACACCCTTTATTTTATTTGCTACCATTAAAATTATATTACACCGATCAGGTCACACCCGTTTAATCTTTCGTCGGTGACGTTATTGAATCTCTATACTTTGTTTGTTTCGTCGATGTGGTTGTTGGTGTTGTCAGTCGCTGTGAATACGATACGATGATAATTGACTAAGATTAGATTCAATTAAGGGTGTGGGTTCTGTTGCCACCATAGCTCAAAGACCTAAATGCTGATAATTAATAAAAACAAAAACAACAAAAGGCAAACTGCAGAATAATCAAATTGTTATCACAATCAAATTTACACCTAACTATGTTTTATGTTCTATTGTTATTAATAATATAATATATTTTTATTCAGTAAAATCGAATATCATATTTGTATACAGATAATGACCAGATATTTACAATTATCAAGCGATTTTATTAATTATTAAATTGTATACGATATTGTTTTATTCATAATATTTATCCAAAATATAATATGATCAATTAGTAAATCTATCTAACACAATGATCTGTATATGAATTACATTTTCAATGATATATTGGCACGAAAACCAAGTGACTTCAAAATTTGTGCCCAAAATATAAAATTACAGTCCAAAGACCCAAAAATGCCAAATTTGGGAAGATATCGTTATATGGTGGGCTAGCCTCTCAGAGGATGAAAAACACCTCATTGACTCATGTTCTAACTTAGGCCCATACCGAGTACCGACCATATTTAATTAAATTATCTATGAAGCTCCTTCTCCTTAGCTTAAGTTATTATTTCCTAAATTGTGACTAAGTTATGTTTCCATAACTATGCCACCGCATATTGTTTCCAAGACTAGTTTCAGAAATTCCAAATGATTTTTTTCCAATGGAAATAGATGCGCAAAGCATCGGTTGAGGACCCTAAGGACATAATTCATGAGGTTATTAGGGGCATATATCAGCAGCGTTACGATTTATTAAATACATTTTTTATCAATTACTTCTTATTGAAAAACTCTGTATGATTCCATAATATAACATGAATTTCCACGCAGTTGTTATAATTTTAAGAAAACAAAAACTTCATCGAGTGAATTAATGTAAAAAACACACACACACACAACAATTGGACAAATAATCCGGAATCCATAAATGCATTCCTATATGTATGTTACTGCCATTGTACCATTATATACTAATAGAGGTATAGCAATTTCAATTGTATTTAAAAACAGGTTGAACTATCCATGGAAACCAATTAAAATGAGTTCGATGAAAAAAATTCATGATCTATTCGATGGACAACATGCAGTGAGCTAAAAAGAAATTCTGCTGAAAAATATATTTTTAAATTGAAAACAAAAACTGTCTTTATTAAAATATTGCAAATGAAAATAAACTCAATACCAATATGATGTGCAGCAATAGATGGTGTATATTTTTTATGTTTATTATATGATGATATGTGACATATGTGATTTGTTCTTTAATAGTAAACTCTATCGATGTGTAACAAATTGGTAGAAATAAAGTAGCTGTTTCTTATGTCTTGTTTTTGTACTATTCCCCGTAAAATCATCCCAAATTGAGTTTCGAATAAGGATAGGCTGAAAGCAAATGAAAGAAAATTATAGAGAAATATTATTTGTTTTAAGTTTAAGTCTTGCCAGTATTTAGATAAAGTTTACAACATAAACTAATAAATATAACACAAATAAAGAATAAAAATAAAGTACGACTATGTTTACATTAATGGTTTTAAATGAACATTTGTATACAATGCAAATGTATATTTAGTTTAAGACATGTTTACATAGTGACATCTAGTGAACATGAAGTAGAGTTAATTTGAAACCCGGTATATAGAAGTAAAGCTTTGTGTTGGCAACGTGGCAAACCTTTGGATTACTTTTAAAATAAGCTTAAATAGTGTAGGATAGCATTTTTGATAACATAGTTTTAGGCTGATTTTATAAACAAGAGTTGTCAACATTAATGGGCAGAATCGTTAAACAATAATGTCAAGCATAGATGTCAGCTATGGATTACCAAGTAGGGATCTCAAGATCCAACTATAATAATTTGAAGTTGGCAACATCAGGTACACTCGTATGCTTGTATTTTACGTTCAGTCATAAACACTTCTCGACCTGATTTCTGCGGTCCTTAACCCTTTGTGACCTATTATTTTTTAATAGAATGATTCTCTCGGTAATTATGGAACATTATCCATAAAAAGTTAAATTCGGGATTATTCTGTAGAAATATTTGTAATCGACATTATAAATGCAGAAATAAAATAATCGAAATATTAATCGATATAAAACTGAAGAATAAACCGAGCCCATTACTAAATGATGAATTCTTAAAAAAGTAGATTTTTTATGCTTTGCTGATCCCTTGATCGTCGTCTTAAGTGATTTCGCTCTGAGAGTTAAAACACATCCAAAGAGAACAGTAACGAAAAATAATTAGAATTTAAACAAATTAATTAATTCCATAAAAATCGATATAAAAGTTGTCAATTCTAATACTACGATAGGAGAACCCATTTTTTGTTTTCAGTATCTTAAAGATTTATATTTTTGGTTGCTAGTTTTCGGAGTACTGGCACGATTGGTCAGATTCTGGAACACAATGAATAAATGGATATATCAAAATAAGCATATTGTGCTCACAAATTGTCAATGCAATTCGAACGAGCCACGATGACATCACTTCAAATATTTGTTTAATTTTAGCTTAGAGCAATTTTAGACTACTAAATCCACTTGATTTAAAATGTCAATTCCATAGCGTATGCGTCACCTTAACATGTTCACAAATCCAGTCGATTATATTTGAGCCATCATAAAGGTCGTTTACATTTAATCGGATTTGGTTAACCCAGTGGGTTTAAATTTTCAATTCCTTTGAATATATGCCAAATAAATCCTCATAAAGTAGGTTGACCCGGTAAAAAGTTCTAATGTAAATGCCGTAATACCCTATGGAATTGACATTTGAGATAGAGTAGATTTCGTAAATTTAAGCATATTTTTAGAATAACAATTTTAAAAAAGTTAGTCCGAACATTTTATTTGTTTAGCATACCTTAAGGCTTTCAATCTGAAATTCTCAAAATCCAATATTTAAATCGTTTTCAAACATCTTTTCCATTGGAATACAAATATATTAACAACAACACTCGTCATAATGTCATGTTTTTACTTTAACATTGTTGTTCGAAGTTGACATTTTAAATGATCGGAATAACAACAATAGCATATTGTTGTTGTATTGAAAATTCAACGGATGATGTCAAATCCATGACAATTTAATGGACATTAAATTGTTCATATAAATCTTGAGCTGAGAATGAAACACACAAAATAACTTTAACAAGACAAATTTAGACACAAAGAAACAACAGAGAAATAAGTATTTAGACACGCACAACTAACAGCTAACACAGAACACAGAACACACATACATCGAAACACGACCATATCTACCAATGCAATGTTATATTTGACAAGTAGTATATAAAAAACAACAACAGAAAATATTCCCACACCAAATTTACGAATCTTTACGATTCTATTCAATCATAGCCTCTATATGTATTTGGTCTACAATCGGTATCTTGGCGGCTAGTATATTGCGCTTTGCCACTAAGCTTTGGTAGGCCATAACGGTCGGTATTTTTATGATAGCCATAACCAAGATTTCGACGACCCTGATAATTAGGATTCCAATAACCACTGTATTGACGTAAACCACCATTACCTCCGTAGCCGCCATAACCGCCATTACCACCTAGGATGTTTGTTCCTGTGCCACTGGGATAATAACTTCCACCATTATTCCATCCGGAATTGGGATAGCCAGTAGTGGGATACGAATTTGTGGGGTAATAGCCATTTGTAGGGTAGTAACCATTTGTTGGGTATTTACTACTTGGATAAAATCCATTGCTGGGATAGTAGCCACTATTGGGGGGATAATAACCTGTGGAAGGATAATAACCATTTTGTGGATAATAATTTGGACGATTATTATTGGGATAATAACCATTTCCTCCTCCCAAGAGACCGCCAAGGTTTAGAACTGTTGATGAAAGTAAATTAAGCTATGAAAAAACACTAATATTTTCAGTAGAACATGTTTGACTTACGTTTGGCAGAGGTGGCCGATGTTTGTAAATCCGATGAAGGCTCTGGATCATGGCTAGACTCCAAGGACCAGGATAGGTTAATAAAGGCTATCAAGAGCTGGAGAAATGTAATAGATAATATATACATATTAAAAATAAACTTTTAAACTCTTGTCATGTGTAATGATCAATTTTCTATTAGAAATTATCTACTGGTGTTATTTAGATAGCAGACCTTCTAGGCGACTTATATATATAAAATATCATCCAAAGATCGTACAGAAGGAAGTCTTCTGAAGATATAAACCTTCCTTATATAGATAAAATATACTTTTGGTCTTTTATAAATAAAATGCATTCTACATATACATATATTTGAAAATGTATTCTACGTATAGATAGAATATTTACTCATAGGTTTTCTATAGTTAAAAAGCTTCTAAAGAAAATTATCACCAAAGGTTCTTTAGGTGTGCCATAGATGTAATAACTTAAACATATCTTCGATATAGTGACGAACTTTGAAAAGAGCCCTATAGATAGATACACCGACTAATATTCATATATCATTTATAATTAGAGGCATAATCTATGTCGATTTTAACACGCCCGTTGAAAGCATGGTTTAGTCACCTTTTCCTACCTATCGGTCTGTAATTTGTAGTTATGGGTTCTTACAGGGTGAAAACATATTTGCAAACATTTTTTTATCTAGGTTTTTGGGTGATAATAAAACTCCTATCCCAGTTTAAGTACTTTAATTTTCCTAAAGGTATTTTTCAATCGAATTAGATGTAATTTGTCATTCCCGAATCTGTACTTAAATTATAGTTTCTCAATTGGAAAAAACTTCAACCCATGGAATTTCCAATATATACCCATAAAAATGAAATTTCCATGCGATGTTTCATTCTTTCCGAGAATAAACATTTTTCTTACAGACATTTACAATGGTATAGCCTTCCTAATACAGCCACGACCGATTTTTGGTATTTTAAATGTCCACATCATGTTTCATGGTATATAGATACCATATCCAACAAAATATTTTTCTTTGAACTATGTATGTATTATTTTGTCCGAATTTTGTTTCTTTATCAATCACTTTTATTTCCATCATTAAATATGAGTTATACTGTTTTGCCATTTATTCAAGCGCGTTCTTTATATATTTCACCGATTACACATACTAACCAGAACTTTAAGTAATTTGCTATTCATGTTGTTGGTGTGTTTTTCTTCACTGTGTTTTTTCGTTTTCAAAAATAATTAAATTTTAAAACAATAAGAAAATTTATAAAAAAAAACAACAACGACAATAATAATAGCACCGCAAAGCGTCAAATAAGTTTTAAGAACAAACACTCAAATCCGAAAGAAACACATCCGAAGTTGGAGACGTTTAGAAGAACAATAATACAGATTCCCAGAGTCAAGTTGTATTTATATTTTGTACTTTCCGGATGAGTGGTCGGTTGGTCGGCCGACAACGAACATTTTATTTGTTTGACTTGTTGTAGTTGCTCATAAAATTTTGTTTGACTTTTTCAAGTTAAAATTTCCAATGAATAACTACTCAGAATTAGGAGTTTAAGTACGCACTCTCTCGTTGTCTCTTGTTTTCCTATTGACATGGTCAGGTCAAAAACTGACGTAACCGATGTTAACACCAAATGTGTTAAAATAATATTTGGAAATCATTGTTTTCAAAACCCCACCCGATTTAGATAAGCCATGACCATAGAGCACTTTAAAAAAAATTTTATTTTTAATAACATGAAATTATTTAGAAAATTTTTGTTTATGATTTTTATTAAATTACATTTAAAATTGCATCAAATGGCATAACAATATTGGCAATTATGAATGTTGAAAGCAATTACCCACTACTGCTATAAATTATTCAATGTAGATCTACAACATTTTGTGGAATTTTTATTAAATCTCTTCATAATATTCATGTAAATGGCATAACAATGGTTTCGATGCAGGATATAAATAAGTAGTATTTGTAACATTGCGGGTAATAATGAATAAGCAGTTGTGAATGAACTGAAATTCCGTATTTAACTTGTTTCAATTTGCAGAGGATTTTATTGAACAGGGAAAGAACTGTTTGTGCTATTCACCATACACACCACAATTCCGACGCACGCTGGGTTGAGCGGTAGGCAAAGTGGCGATTAATTCAAACAATGAACTTTAACTTTAATAACCGTTTTTGGTACCGAATGAAAGAAGATAAAATTCTACATCACAAATTGCCAAAATAAAAGTTCTTAGTTGTTTACTTTATTTGTAGTGTGTCTTCAAAGTTCAGTAATTATTATTATTTTTGCGCGCATTGGTTAAAAGTGAAAATTTGCATATTTCCAGTAATAATTTTTTTAATAAAGACTTGTAAAAGTGAAAATTTTATTATGGAGCCGTCTACTTCAGGTGTTTGAGCATATGAAAAATATTTGTTTGTTTAGATAAATGTTTTGGAAATATAAAAAAAAAATAATAAGGAAATTGCTCCAAAATTGAGGTATTTTTGATGTTTGTATTGGATTTCAACTGAATTATCAGTGAAGCTTAGTAAAACTGCTTATATTTTCTTAAAATATGAAGTTTAAGCTTATAAATTCCAGAAAAACTTTTTGCCGATTTGGTGCATTTTTTGACTTATTAAAGAATTGGTAAAATAACCTAGCTATATGAAGAATCTCAGGAAGCCAGAAATAAGGACTCCAAAACACTTTGGGAACACTTTTCCAGTAAATTTAGTCGGGGAAAATACAATAAAAGACGTCTTTAATAGATTTCTTTTAAGTTCAGATCCATTTATTTCGAGCAAGAGGAAGACTTGTAAAAAGAAAATACAGCAAATGTCTCATACGGCTTTGGACTTACTTATCCTTACCCAAAAGGAAAATGATAATGGTGACGAAGATGAAGATTATTTTAACGAATTGTATGATGACTAACAAGTAAATGAATATTATTAAGTAAATTAATTTTATAATTGTTGTGAAGTAAATGATGATTATGAAATTAATAATACTGTTAAAATTAATGAAATGAAGTAAATAAAAAACCGAACAATTATATTTTTTAGTTATTTTTTTCCTGTAATGGTTGTTTGTTTTATTTTTATACTATGGTTTTTGTTTATGAATATTGATCAATAAGATATAATAATATTTTCTAATGTAACTTTTTTTAAATATGTGGAATTATGGAATTTGAAGAAAAAATCGGATTTTAATTTAAAATTTTGGGTATATAAATACAGATAAAATATCTATTAATTTTTATTTTTTTAAAACAATTCTTTTTTCCTAAAAGCACATTAAGTATGCTCTAATTTTTAATTGCATTTCCTAATTTATAATTTTTCTTTGATTAGTTATAGCGAAAATTGTGATATAAGACAACTTTTTGTTTTTCTAATTATGTCTTTTTATGTATTTATGAATATCCATCAATAAAAAATAACAATATTTTAAAATTACGGCTTTCCTGAATTAATCGCCATTTTGCCTACCGCTCAACCCACTGTGCGACGGTATATGTGTTGCAAACATATTATATATGTTTGCAACACATATAAAATTAATTTAAGTAGACCCATAATAACTTTTGGGAATCAAGTGGAATCAGCTTCTGAATAGATTTATGTTTGTCCGCCAGTCTGTCATTTTAGGGGTCTATTAGGAAAATATGAGTTATTGGTCCAATGTTAAAAATCCAAGTGTACTTCATGAATCGAAAAAAAAAACAATAATAAAAATTCAAAAGTCGTGCTCAACTATATGATACCTTTCACCATTTTGAGTATATTCAAAAGATGCTCCTGATATTTTATTGTAACACAATTTTATATACAGTGGCAAGCAAAAGTGTACGAACGTTGGGAAATTTCTCCCTACAACTCCTAGAAAATATTAATATGAGATCCCAATACAAATTTTTCAGGTTTGGTTACTTATCTATTATATTACATTTTTAATATAAAAAATTATATATAAAAATTTAAGAAAACAATTAAAAGTGACTAAAATGCACTTTTGCAAATATGCTAGCCATTTAATCAATAAAAATTATTTGGTTAGATAACCAATTTCTAACAATTTTTAAGGTGTGCTCTTAATCTCTACCTTGTTAAAATTGTAATTTCTCCTAGGGAAATTCATATTTTTCACATTTTCTAGCAAATTGGTTTAAAGGATATTGATACGGTTAATTTTAGTTTCATCAGGCCAAATAAAATGTTTCCAATACTCCGATTTTCAATTTTTGTTTTAACGTTTTTGTTTTATAGTCCTAGTCTACCTAGGACTGTACGAACAACCCAATCACTAACGTGCTTATTTATCACCTTGGCTTCTAATTTTGGTGTTCTAGTCTTAAAAAAGATGTCTTGTATAAATTTAGAGCTCGTCTTTCCATCTAATTCGTGGCCTTCCCCTTCTACCGTCATCCGTAGGCTCATTTTTATATGCCTTTTGAGCTGGGGCTTCTTCATTCATCCGCACAACATGGCCTAGCCACCGTAGTCGCTGCAGCTCAATACGACTGACTATGTCGATGTCTGCGTATAAATTGTTGAGCTCGTGGTTCATTCGACGCAGATCGGCCCGTAGATCTTTCGGAGAATTTTTCTCTCAAACACCCCAAGCGCTGCCTCATCTGCTTGCGCAAGTACCCATGCTTCTGATCCATATAATAGCACGGGTAGTATCAGCGTCTTGTAAAGTGTGAGTTTGGTCTGGCGAGAGGTGGCCTTGTTTCTAAACTGCTTACTTAGACCATAGTAGCATCTGTTGGCCATCACAATCCTTCTCCGAATTTCAAAACTGATATCATTCGTTTTATTTATGGCGGTACCAAGGTATATATAATCTTTGACTACCTCGATGCTGTAGTTCTCAAGTTCCACAGTTGGCCCGAGTCTACTGGACGTCTTGCGCGTTGATACCATCAGCTTGGTCTTCTCGCCGTTTACTGCCAGACCCACTTTGGCAGACTCCTTTTCAATTTGTTCAAAGGTGGCTGTTACCGCTCGCAATGTTCGACCCATTATATCGATGTCATCGGCGTAGGCGAGTAACTGGTGTTGTTTGGTGTACAGAG